CGAGTGAATTCTGCTTGTCTGCTTTAAAAAGACGAGTCAAGAATATGACTAATGCTTTCTCTTCCCCTAATGAACACGTGCGTGTGCTTTCCAAACCTGCTGAGTCAGCTGCCTTACAGGATGTCCTGACACAAGTAACGGTGTTACCCGCTCTCTGAAATATTACTCTTTCTGTTCAAGAGATTCTCGTATGCCCTAGAATTATACCTGTGGAGTCCCTACTTTGTCTCTAAATGAGTCCATAGACATAACAGTTCAAGGTAAATTGCACCTTCTTTTTCTCTGTGCACTAACTCCAGTCCTGCTTCCAGTCCAGAATTATTAATTGAAGACGACAAGCAGAAGTTTTATTGGGGAATAAAGTTTAAGCAAAAGGCAGGACAGCATGAACCTTGATATTTTTTCAGTAGTATCTGAACTGAGAGTGAAAATTATATTTCGTCCTTGATTTAAAATATTGGTATTTTTGTTCTGTGGTTTGCACATCTCCATCATCTCTGTCAGTTTGCATCTTGTATTTGCAAGGCAGTCTGCAGGCAAGGAAGCAACCATCCATCACTGCGTGCATGGTTGTTTGGCTACTGCAATGAAGACTGACAAAATTGTCAGAAAGGCAAGAACTCGCCAAACGCTTTCTTACCTGTCAGCATCAAAACTGAAACACCTGCACCTCTGCGGTCCTTGCTGTGTGCTGACCGGTGGTGCGTTGTGTCTCTCTCGTACCATCTACCTTGCTCTACTGCATCTTTCTGCCAGTTCCTGTTAATTTCCACAGAGGAAGGGCCTAATCCTGCTGACCATTGCTGCTGCTCTATAACCTTGCCCTAAGTTTAGGATCTGGTAGTTTCCACCGTTTCTCAGATATTTGAATCTTGGCTTGTGTCTGCCTTATAAAAGTGCTGTCACTTAGTATATTGGGGATAATGTTTTATGTACAGATAAATATTTGTATTAACTTCCAGATGCTAATTAAGCTTCACCTAGATCTAAATATTAAAAGCATTTAGTAGCATGAAGTTACATCCTCTGTAGACCTGTAGTTTAAGCCACTCAGAATGAGCCGGATGATCTGTGTTATGCTAGAGGTGAGAGAAGTGTTCGCTAAAAGAGAAGTTCACCACAAAGCAGAGGTTCAGCACGAATCTTTATGCGCTGTTTAAGACCAAAGCGGGTTTTACGAGGTTTGTGGTCCTAGTGGTGGATGTCAGCTCAGAGGCGAGTTTAATTCTAAAGGCTTTGTATGAAATTACTAAACAGCAAAGCTATACATCAATTAATATGATTAATGTGGGTAGAGTAGTAGTGGCAGCCTGAGACGGAAGGAATTTGTTTAAGCCAAATGTCACATTAAAACAAAATGGGGCATCAATGTGAGGGTGCAAAAGTGATTGCAAGATCAAGGTGTGGTTATCTTTGCTTATTAATATATTTTGAAAAGTTTTTTAATGTTATGATATGGCAATTCTATATTATACTAACAATAATGTATCAACATTAATAAATCAGTAGTTTGTTGAAAGAGGAATATAGTAGGTATAATTGCACAGATATAATCTTTTATATACAGATTTTTTCTACTGTGTATCAGAGTGCTCAGATAAAATAAAAATTAATAGATGTGATTTTTTTTTTTGTTAAAAGACCTATGCTGACTTAAATTATAGATTAAGCAATACAAGGATATCTAATATCATTGTATGCGTATATATACATATGAATCAGAAATAAAGAACTGCAACTCACCACTGGAAGTATTTCCTTTCAGCGCCACGTTTTTTTTCCTTTATTCCCTGGGTGCATGGAAACACTTGACTGTGTCAAATCACAGTTCTTGGCATAGTTATAAATATTTTTTTCTTTTGATTCCCTACCTGTCCGTTCAAAAATTGAAACTGAATCAATTCTGTGTCTCATGATGTTACTCTCCACCTCCATGTATCCAAATCCTTGTTTTGCTGATACTGGCAATATTGTTCACGAAAGAAAGCAGGAGAAGCTCTTCAAATTGCTCTCTAATTTGTGCCTATGCTGTTACCTAGAAATCAAACACATAGTCTCACTACGTCTCACATGGTGGGCAGAAAACAGAAGCTATGGGGCAGAACCAGGCTGCCTGTGAAGCCACCCTGAGCAGTTTAGCAACCTTATTGACTGCAGCGGAGGAAGGAGTCGGAGCTGGAGGATGTTCAGTCCTCTCACCAACCTGGTGCCATGTGCTCACTCCTGTCCCAATCTAGATCTGTGCCAAATGCGTCAGTTTATCCTGACACTACTTGAAGTAAACCTGGCTGACTTTTGGACAGCTAACCTGGAGCATTGGCCAGTGAGGCACCAGATATGAGCTAAAAGGGGATAGCCTATGTCAGCTGAATTGTCACCCACCTGCAGGCAACCCTCTGAGTGCTCCTAGACCTTTTCAGCACAAAGAAGTTGGATTAAACTAACCTTTCTTGCTTGTAGAAAATTATCTCCTTTCGATAGGTTTGAAGATTTATCAAATCTTAAGCATTGATAATTTAGGGCTTAAATTGAGCCTCAGAAGCAGACTTAATTATGGCCACGTCATACAAAAGAATTTCTGCGAGATTTCAGGAATCTTAAATTGTGCTTTGGTTTTGATTATCTTTCTCCAGGTCATTCCAATATAATTTAATTACAGTTTAAATGTGGGTTTTGGCAGCTGATCTCTGGTAATATGGAATCCTTCATACCCTAAATTGCAGGCATTGGAATGGCTACGCTTACGTCCAGCTATAACGCTGTAGCTGGGAGAGCTGTGGGTTATCCTAATACCATCAGTTGTAATGGCAGCTCAGATATTTTCTTTTCTGTACCTTCTGTGTGCCACACCACCTGGCAATGTGTGTCTTCCAGTAATTTGACTAACGTTTTCAGAGTGCTGATTAATGGCTTTTGTAGCTGGGAACACCGGTGCAATAGACATAGCCATTTATACAAGGAGAAGCTGAAAATACAGTTAAGTAGTAACACAAAAGCTTTATTTTCAAAAAGGCAAATCCTATTGTATTAACTGTTGACATCTGCCTGTTCTCTGATAGTCTAAGTAGTTCATGTTGTTAACATTTTCTTGAGAAAAAAAGCATAAAAGGGTGTAAAAGTACTTAAACTGTATGTTCTGCTCATGTGCTGTTTCTTCAGGAGTGGAAAAAAAAGAGATTTTCTTTTCTTATAGATTTTCAGTGGAGGGTTGTCATGAAGTAAGTTTTCAGCACAGTTCAGTGGTGTAAAATAAAGTATATCAGCTGAAAGGGAAATCCATCGCCATGCAGTAAGTTAACATTACCACTCGTTTCCTGACTGTGTTAATTTTCTGCCCCCCCTGGTTCTCCAAGATCGATATTCCTGTTAGCTCAGTCTTTAGAACTAAAGCAGAAGTTGATGACGTGGATTGTGTTTTGTATGGGAGAACTAGTTTAACAAGCTGAATGCAAGATATTGTGAAAGGAGAACATATTTATTTACAAAATCTCAAAGTAAGTTGATCCCACCTGCTCACAGTCCTCCTCCCATAGACTTCATTCACTCGCACCATCACCATCACACCCACATACTTCAAAGCACCAGGACCTGTGTTCCCAGGGTGACCTCACCATGAGCAGTAGCTGGCAGCACAAAGGACAAGAGCTGCTGGCTACCGAGTCCTCATGATGTTTCTCGTCTTTTTTACTGCAGAC